CGCGAAGCGGCTCAAGGCCCAGCTCACGGCGGCGCTCCAGGCGAACGCGGCCATGCGGTCCGAGCTCGCCCAGCTCCAGGCGGACGTCAGCCTCGTCGCGACGGCGGCGACCGACGACTCGCTCAAGGCCGCGAGCCGCGACGACCTCGAGCGCGCCGCGCGCGCGTCGGCGTTGCAGGCGGAGCACACGCACGAGGAGCTCGCCAAGGCCCAGCAGATGATCACGGCGCTCAAGGCGCGGACCAAGGACCTCGAGTCCCGGCCCGTCGGCGACGCGTCGGGCGACGCCGCCGCGACCGACGAGCTCGACGCCGCGCGCGACGAGGTCAACCGGCTCCGCGAGGCCGCGGAGCGCCTCGAGGCGTCCGTCGAGCGCGAGGAGCGGCGGTCCGCCGACGCCGAGGCCCGCGCGCACGGCCTCGAGGCGCGGAACGAGGCCCAGGCCGCGGCGCTCGAGGCCGCGGCGCGCCACGCGGACGAGGCCGCGAAGGTCGCGGAGCTGAGCGACCAGCTCCTCGAGGCCCGGGCCGCGCTCGCGGCGTCCGCGTCGCCCGCGGCGTCCGCGGCGCCCGCGGGCCCCGCGCCCGCGGACCTCGAACAGGCCAAGACCCTCGCGCGGGCTGTCGGCCGGTCCATGAAGGAGTCCGTCGTGAAAGGCACGGCGTTGTGGAAGGGCGGCAAGCGCGCGGAGTGCTGCGCGGCGTACAAGGCCGCGGCGAAGGACGCGCTCGCGAAGCTGCCGGCGGGTGTGGACGCGGCCTGGGTCGTCAACGGCGACGACCTCCTCGCCAAGGCGCGGCCGCTGTTGGAGGCCGCGCTCCGCGACTCCGAGAGCCAGACGGCCGCGCGCGGCAGGGCAGGAAAAGAGTGCGAAATTCCCAACTTCAAAGGCTCCTATCTCGGTTGTTTTCCACGCGTGTTGGCTGATTTTTGGACGAGCGATCATCTCGCGGAACGGTCTCGAAGCGTGGGTGCTGTTTCCGAAACGCGCGCGCGCGGAACACTCACGTTGAAGCGACGTTGAATCACTCTTGTGCTGCCCAGGCGCGCGGCGCCGTCGCGCTCCGCAAGGCCTTCGACAAGGTCATGGAGCACCTCGCCGTCGTCATCCGCGCCGACGCCGCGAGCGCCGCGCCGCCCGCGGCGGCCGCCGCGGCGGTCGCGGCGCCGGGCGGCGGCGGCGACGTCGCGCGGCTCGCGGCGGAGCTCGACGCTGTGTGGGAATCAACCACCGGTTTGGGGGGTCCCCACCAAACTTCAGAACTCTCTATCTCAATCAAATCGAAGTCGATTTGGCTGATTTTTGGACGGATCGATTGCTCTCGTCGAGTTCTCGAAGCACAGCGAAAGTGTCTGGTCCAAATCGTTCGATTACGCGCACATTGAAGTCGGGTTGAAGATTTGATATCCACACAGGCTCGACGCCGCGCGCGCGGAGTGCGGCCGCCTCGGCGCGCTCGTCGCGGAGACGCGGTCCACGGCCGACGCCGGCGCCGGCGACGGCGACGAGGCCTACGCGGCGCGCGTCGCCGAGGACCGCGCGCGCGCGCGCGCGGCCGAGGACCGCGCCGCGGAGCTCGAGCGCGAGGTCGAGCGGCTCTCCGCCGCGCCGGCCGCCGGCGCGCCCGGCGCGGGCGCCAGGGGCGGCGACCCCGCCGCGGCGCGCAAGCTCGCGGCGGCGACCAAGGACCTGCGCGCGGAGCAGGCCAAGGTGCGCCGCCTCGAGGACCAGCTCAGGAAGGGCGGCGGCGCCGCCGCGGCCGCGCCCGGCGGCGACCCCAAGGCGCTCAAGCAGCTCGAGAAGAAGCACAAGAAGGAACTCGACGAGCTCAAGAAGGCGGCGGACAAGGACCAGCGCAAGGCCGCGGGCGAGCTCAAGCGCGTCGGCAAGGAGCTCGAGAAGGCCGCGGGCGAGCTCGACGCGGCGAAGAAGGAGCGCGACGCGGAACCTCGAGGCGCTCACGTCGAACCTCGACGAGCTCCGGACCAAGGCCGCCCGCGTCGACGACCTCGAGACGAGCCACGCGGAGCTCCTCGCGACGACGGCCGACGCGGAGGCCAAGTACAAGACGGAGCTCGCGCTGCGCAAAAAGTACTGGAACATGATGGAG